AACATTATACGAATCTTGGAGAAAACAATTGATTAAAAATATGGCACTTGTAGAGGCCATTATTGATTTTGGTGAAGATGAAAATATTGAAGATGATGTGTTTGATCAAGGTAAATTGTGATTTATATTTTATAATGAATATTTAAATATTGTAATAATCATAACAAAATTACTTAATAATCAATTGATTGATTGAATTTATTAATGAAATAGTTACTAATCAAATTAAACAATTGATAATCGAAATATCTGAACATATGAACGATAATCGTAAAGGCGAAATTTTACGAGATGGTATATTTGTTACTGTTCTAGGTCCTCCAAATGCTGGAAAAAATAAATCTCCACAGCTCAAAGACAAGCTGCAATAGTGTCACCAATTCCTGGAACAACACGTGATGTTATTGAAGTTTCGTTAAATATTGGTGGATATCCAATCGTTATAGGCGACACTGCAGGATTAAGACAAACTGATGATTTGATCGAGATTGAAGGAATTTCAAGGGCAAAAAAATGGTCAATAATAAAGTTTTTTCCCAACGATAATATTTTATATTTTATATTTATTGTTGGTTTTTATATTTATATTTTTTTAGGATAAAATCAGCAGATATCAAAATATGTATTTTACCTTGCGATGAATTATTAAATTCAAATTTTTTGATATATCCATTTATAACAGATATGATTAATAATAATGATGATGATGACAATAATGCTGATAAAGAGAATTCTAATGATAATAACAATAACGATAACAAAAATAGTAGTAGTATTAGTGAAAATATTCTAATTCTAAATAAAATTGATCTTATTAATGAATTGGATTTGATAAGGTTAAAAGAAAAAATCAATAAAAACTTCTCTACAAAATTTATAAGGTGTTTATCATGTGAAACTGGTGAAGGCTTCAAAGAATTTTTGGATGAATTTGTCAATCTTTTAAAAACAAAGTAAACACTATTATATCATTATCGTTAAAACAGTTTTCAAATAGTTTTTTTTAAAAAAAATGTTATATTTATTTAATTTAGATATGATTCGTCAACTTCACAAGTTGCCCTAATAACTCAAACAAGACATCGTGAGAATTTAAAGGATTGT